ATTTGCATAGAGACGGCCAATACAGAAACTCAACAATGTCTCTTGATCAGAAAAAATATTTGATGTCCCAATCCCACTGTACAGACTACAGACAGACTACAGTGGTCTACAGACAGTGTTATCTGCACATTTATAAAGCATTCAAAATGCAAAACCCCCTGAAAACAATATCCTGTGAAAGGCACACAGCATATGAAAGCATCATTTTTTTAAAAAAAGTTTTAAATGTAATAGTAGAGTACCCAGAAACAGGTGTGGGGCATAATTTATGTAAGGACCACATTGGTTGAAATAGAGCAATTGAATTATACTACCATCCATCAATTTTCTAAGAACTTCTTCCAGTTTAAGGTTGCATGGGAACTGGAACCTAGAAACCCATTAAGCAATAGGCACAAGACAGTGTACTGTACGCTCTATATGGGATGCCAGTCCATCAAAAGGTGCACACAGACATGCACACATTCACACCAAGGCCAGTTTCCCCAGAAATCAATTAACCTACCAATATTTTGTTGTACTATGGGAAAAATTCCATACAGCTAGTACCCCATGTCTGAAACTGAACTTAGAGCTCTAGCACTATGGGGCAGCAATACTTAACACTGCACTACCATGCCACCCTCTGTTACAGTGCTGTTAATCAGAAATGGCAAAATGATAGGTATCCTTTATTTGTTTATCTGTATATTCTATGTGATCTACTGTATTTTGAAAATATGTCTAATATGAATCAAATAGCATACTATTTTTTGGAATAGGCAAGGGCAGTTCTTTGCCTCATCAAGGGTCACACAGGTTCCTCACAACATCTTTAAAACCTGTATAGCCTAGGACTTCTTATTTCTTCTTTCTGTTCTATCTCATGGAACAAAGTATTTTTTATGCTTTCAGAATTTCACTGACTGCAATATTCCAAGTGAGGTGAAAGGCAAACCTTACTTTCTGTGAGTTGCAACAAAGCAAGCACTAAAACATTTGTCTCTTTATGAAAAATATTTGGCTAAAAATAGGACTGAATGAACAGAAATGGAAAGAGAAGAATGTATATATCGAGAAAATAATTCAAACAAAGAAGAGAGAGAGAAGGGAATAGAGACGGAGGAGTCTTTTCTGTCTAATGACTAATGCTGCTTCTTGTCAGGCACCAAGGTTAGGGAAAAAAAGAAATATCCTGTGGACTAGAGCATAAATTCAAACATTGTAATTTAAGAGCTCTATAAACACGATTTCACAGAGTGCCACCACGTATTCCTGTCACATCTGAATAAAACTAATTACCCTCAAGGTGAAAAAAGATGTTAGTGCTTATTTTTAACCACGTGAAGAGTTATCTTTATTAAATCTTACTATAGTATTAATATTCCTAAAGAAAATAAGTCTTTGGGACTGGAGGGATATTGTTTAGAGTCAGGTCACATTCTACATTCCAGATTGTAGAAACCACCAGAGGACAGGAGTTTGAAGTTATTTCAGTGCCTAATGGGAGAAGAGGGATGCAGTTTATCAGATGTCTGGACTTGAAAACTCTGTGTGAAATGAGTAACGTAACTCCCTTCCCTCAACTACTTTTAAATTTGGAGGTTTATGTCCTATCAATTATTTAATCATTATTGTTTATATTGATGCAACCTATTATGAAGTACTTTGAAAAGTCAGGTACTGTAAATAGTAATGTCCTATTTACACATTAAAAAAAATAAACTAACTTTTTCTGTTGAGTTTTACGTATTCAGTGTAATTAGGCAAAACAGCTTAACAGTTATGTTTGTTTAAAAAGATCATTTTGATTAAATATTAAGTTTTCCAATTCCAAGATCAAGAACAATAATTCAAAGCCAGTTACAATTGTTATCATGTATTGTTCAGGTGTCAAACGTAAACATTTCACTTGGTCCTAGATATGAAACCTTGCTGCTAGCGTTACCACACATTGTTTATGTTTCACATAAATGTGTAATGTTTTCTATCTACAATTGAACTAGATGGCCATTTCCACAGTGGTTCAGCTACCTTTGCAGGCTTGACTTGTTCAGAGCAGTTTCATATCTGAAATTGGGCCATACATCCCTAAGTTAACTTGAAGGTAAAATGTTTTTTCCTGTTTCAGGGTAATTTGTAGCAAGAGGACATACTGTAGAGAATAAGTGTAAAGAAATGTTTTCATTTTAAAAAACAAAGTTGTTTTAGATGTAATTAAATAAACAACCAAAGTAAGGATATTTATAAATCCTTACATCATTAATATTGCATGTTTACAGTTAAAATATGTCACATTAGATGTGCAGTGCAACAAAATAATGATGAGAATTAAACAGGGAAAGAAGAAAATGGGACAATAAGTACCATCAGCTGACATTAAGTAATAATGAATGCAAATAGTTGCAGGGATGCATCTCGCTAACTTGGAATGCTGGTTCAAACATTGCTAAAAATGGATCGTGTCATTAGCCCAGGACTGACCAACCTTTATTCAAGACAACCACAATCTCAGCAGGCTTTATGCTTCATGCTTAAATGATCTTCCCAAAATCAGACGTGTAGAGATCATACATGAAAATGAAAATGCCAACAAAGCAGCAATGTAGCTCTCAAGGACCCCAGTTGGCCATTATTCACTTAATAGAACAAATTTGCTACATAAAATGATTGAACATTTCACGTCATTCAAGTTGTTTTTTTGGAAACCTTGATGACCTGTCAGATACTGTGTGCAGAATTGTGGGTCACTCAGACCATAGCTGGAGTTCCGTGTTGTGAATCCTGTTGGTATACTGTTGGCAGGGCACAGCTGAGGTGGACATTAGTCAGTAAGGTTATTTGCAGCTTTTGGCACAATAGCAGGTCCTTGCCAGGGACCACCAGTTTTGCAGTAAGATTAGTGAGAGACATGCTATTCCTCTAATGGACGCAGAAAAATCAACATACCTACAAGCCTCATTCTACCGTGCAGATACTGTACTGTACAAGAGCCCTTGACAGCAATCAGAGCCTTAAACAACAGAAGATTCCAAACTGGGTGGAAATACTGTATAATACAAATAGCTACCAAACTTCAAAAAAGAAAATACAACAGGAATGTTGGCAAACAAATCAGACAACCATGCTCGGATATAATGGAAAATGGTAGTGGAAAGGAGAAAATTCTATAACATACACTTAAATCTCCTTCAGAGTGATAACAGTCTAACAGAAAAAAATAACATTTTAAAATCCTTTCGCCATGGCCAAGAAGTAGAAGGGATAATGTAGGACTAAAGCCACTGAGGTCCATTTAAATTGTGAACAAGATAAGCAATGTAAAGAAATGTCCTAAGTACAGGGAATAAATGTGCCCTGCTGGTCTGGTGAGCGACACTGATTAATTTATGGAGAGACTGTCCAGCCTCCTCCTGGTACGATGTTATGTGTACAAAATCCTTGGTCAATTGGTATTAAAGTTCGGAAAGAAAGCATCTTTGAGAATATTTTTTTCTGTATACAATTGCTAAGATACAGCTATTAATTATTGTGTTTGTTGTGTTCCCTATTATCTATGCAAAATAAATTAATTACACTTGTGTTCACTCAAGGAGTTTTGTTTTCTTACACCATCGGAGTAGAAAATTAAGTGGAAGAGGTACTGTAGATTCCTTTAAAGTTGTGTCACAGAAAAAGTTATAGGGTTCATTATTCTGATTATATGAAAAAAACTCCCGAATAAATAACATCTTACTTCATTAAATCAACACCTACTGTAATGTGACTGGAAAACGTTTCGGTAGCTAATAGCTACCTAACTTTAATAATAATTGAAATATCAAAAATGTTGATAATAAAGTAATGTTTAAAAAAAAACACGTACTGTACATACTGCATCCAACCATTAACAGAAAGCTACTTATCTCTACTTAACCCTACCCCCAGAGCATGGGATTCAAGGTGGGATTGAGAGCACACAACTGCTTTCTCCTTTGATGGGACACTAGCTCAAGAAAGAGAAACTTACACACATCCAACCAGACTTAACCATTGTGTCTTTGGGATGCTGGAGGAAATGTAAAGGGATGTGGGGAGAATGTGCTGTCTTCACACTTAGTAATCCTCAAACTACTGTATGTCCTGAACCCAGAATCCTGGAGCAGTTAATCTGGAGTAGTAACCATCATGCCACAATTCAGCCCATGCATCCTTGTTGTATATGTAATCATTTATATACACTTGCTACACACAGTATATGCTATTCTGTGTATGTACATGGATATACAGTATACTGTATATAAAGGAATTAACTTACTTTGTGGAAACCGAGGAGGGTTGTCATTGACATCAGTGATCACTATTGTAACAGTTGTTGAGCCGGAAAGACCACCCATTTGGCCTGCCATATCTGTCGCTTTGACAACCAGCTCGTAACGATCCTGTGTCTCCCGGTCCAGGTCAGCCACAGCTGTCCGTATAACTCCTGGAGAAAAGGAGAGAGGGCCTGGTAAGTGGAGATCAACACCAAAAGATAACTTGACACTCAGAATCGTCTTAGTTTAATGCATGATTACTCCAGCTGAATTGCACTGTTATCCCTTGTGCACATTTGGATCTAAAGCAGAAATATACCCACTCTCTTGATCAATACAGATCTGCCAGCCTAGCGCTGCCTAGTTTTGAGAGCATTAAAATCTTTTTTGTTCAGCCAGAGCAGGAAAAAAAAGAGCCCTCACTTTCACAGGCCACAGAGTTATTCTTTTCACTTTTATACCGTATTCCACAAAGTAAATGAGTGTGCTAGCAGAATTTAAAACTAAATAATATCGTATCTACTAAACAATAACTAAACTAAACATTATTACAGACGCCTTGTATACAGTCCTGAACTTTCATTTTTTTTAAATAGTGTTTCTGTGTGTATCTTTTAAGAATAGCAGTCACTGAAGCTCAAAGTCCTAAAATACAGTAACACAACCTACAAAATTTCACTCAAATTATTCTATGTAACAAATATCATTTTGGGTGTTATTTTGAAAGACTCTCACAAACCCCATTAGCACCACTATTCTAAGAGATGCAAATAACAGGCTACATTAGTAATCACAAAAAAAACCTTGTAATTTTATCAAGTGTTTTGTCTGAAGTGGAGTAAACTTACTGTATATATTTTGCAGAAAAAATACCAAAATAACCAATAACCAAAATAACTAATTCTGAGCAATGTCTACAAGCTCAATATTAAAACTTGTATTAACTTCAATATTATTTTTTATTTCAACTACAACTACTAGACGTCCATACTGACAAAAAAGTATGAAATTAAAAACCTGCAAATCTTATTTTATTATTCAAGTGACATATAATAACCTTGGCTCTCTGTACTTCTCTAAACAATCTCCAAGGGAGTAATTTTTATACTTGTAAATCATTCAGAATTACACCTCAGGACACACAAAAATGAAAATTAGATTTCTAAGCAAAAAAAGTAAGGCATATAGAATTAGGAATAATTGTCATAGTTGTTAACTACTAATTATTGTTTAAGCTAATACTGTTCTTTACATTTAACCAAATTAACCTAACAGTAATACAATTATATTAGACATACAAGCATTATTAAACCTCCAAGATAGTGAAAAATAGTTGAAGAGTATACTGTAGTATTAAGAACAGAGGTGTAACAAACTGAAATAGTCTTACACAATAAGTTAAACAAGGAAGCCGAATATAATGTGAGAAAACACAAGTAATGATATTTGATTTGTGTTCTAAAAGTATCCAATATTCAGTGTGTCTGTGGATTTTTCTGATAGTAGTTAAAATAATTTAAATATACTTTAAACTAAAATGATGACACTTGCCCTTGTTATTCATCTACATTTACAGTACATCTACAGTCCCTACATGTGTTGAGTCTCTTTTTTTCCACTTTGTTGTCTACTATGTTAAGAGGCAGATGGTGTTTTCTGAAGCTAGAGATCTGTTTGGTACTGTATCACCCAGAAAGTACATGCCCTAATAAATCTAAATCTACCTGTTGATTATTCATTTCTGGGAAAATGTTAAACCTCATGATATTAGGAGTTAATTCATACAGGTAGGTAGAAATTACTATATTTTCTTCTGTAAAGAAATACAGTTTTAAAAAAAGACAAAAACAGCAGTTATACATTGAACATGTACAGAGTAGTGTGAGGGATATGCTGGGGCCATTGGGCACTGAAGAGCTTTGCAAGAACATAAATGATTTCAATTTTCAGCTCTTAAAAGGTCAGATGAGATTTGTAACTGGTATCAACATTGTACCTACTGTATTTCTGAGATTCAGAACTGGCCTGGTTTCAGGTGTGATATTGGAAATGTGACCAATTGGATCTGTGCAAGAGGAAGAAAAGGTCATTGTGGGGGAATTTAAAGTGTTGCTATTCCCACCTGAGCCTTTTCATCATAAACTGAGCTAGCAATACTTATGTAGTCAGAAATAATGTTCAGTCATTTGAGGAGTGCTTCAAGTTTTATCTGCTGAAATGGGAAAGACATACCTGAACCTTTTTTTTTTAAATTAACAACTCAGTACAGAAACATGAACCAAAAATCTAAACAAGAAGGCAGTTGAATTAAAGCCATCAATTAACAATTAATGGTGTTTTTGATCTCAGCTCTACCAGTGCTGGGATCCACTGCCTTAGATGTCTTCTATCCCTTGCTTCACTTTTAAGATCAGGCTACATGATAGCAATGTTGCTGTCAAATATATGTGTATTAGAGATAGAGTTTATCATGCCTGTACACTGAGAATTGCATTTCAGAAGGTAAGAAATTTAACAGTCTATAAATATGAAGCTGACATTTGGTATGAAATCAAATTTACTGGGGCCTGCACACAACTTAATGTTCAGATTTACTAATGTGATTAAAAATAACGATAAAGCTGACAGAGTGACAGGAAGAAGATTAGTCCCCATGTACTGTACAGTACGGCATAGTATTCATTGTACAGTATGTGCATTTATAATGGATAAACCAAGCCAGACTAACACATACTGTATTTAACTGTATTTAGTGTATGAAAGCATATGGTATACAGTTTATTAGGTGCTGCATAGCTTTTAACCTAAAGTAAAATTTGCTATTGTCCGATGAAGGTCTATAAGATAATTTTGGGAGGTAGTGCCTTCAGCAGTGTGAGCAGAGCAAATCAAAGTCTTCACTTAATTTTGCTCATCATCCACTACACTTTTCTGTGTGCAATGGATTTGTTTTAAATGCAAAACAAGAGCCTAGTTTAAATGAAACTTCAAACGTCTAATCACAAATTCTAGCCATTCTAGCCTTAGTGCAGTTAGATATCATCCATTTGAGGAGAAAAATTAAAAGTCTTGTGCAAGTAGGAAGCCACTGTCAAGTGATGCCTAGGATTCACAATGAGTTGATTTCTTGATTGAATCAAGAACAATCATCTTCAGTATCTGGCCTCTAGATTTCCAGCTGTTTCAGCTGAGTGAATCATCTATAGCCAGAACTTTCTTTGAAGCTGTCCCTAAGCTGTGTGAAGAGAATTGTCAGTTATGGTGGAAAAAATAATACAAAGCAAATACTTATAGATTATAACTCCATTATTTTGGCAAGAATAACTTTTACATGTTGCTAACATTAATCTACATTTTTGAATTAAGAGAAAGTGGCAGCACCTAGCTGGAGTATTAAAATTCATAAGAACACAGTAAAGGTTAGTAAACCAGAGGAGGGTTCTGAACCAATCCTGATAATTTGGTTTTTATCTGTTTATTGAATTAAAAACATGTATTTAGTTGTTTTCTGAAGGACACAAGGAAATATACAGTACTTCGGCAACATGCCCAAGACATTCGTTCAAGGTATGTTGCAACCTTTATTTATAAGAAATGAGTACTATGTGCAGTGCTAAATGCACACCTTCT